AAAAACTGAAATTTTCAATGGCTTGGATCAATTTGCACCAACAGGATTATTTTTAGCAAATCAACATTTTTCAAGTTGTTCTTTCTTGATATGCTAATCAATCCCAAAATTTCACAAATTTAGTTTTTGTGACATCATCACTACTCTCCTCTATATATGATGTAAATGATTTGTTCTTTCTGACAAATTTGTGCTAACCAATCCCATAATTTCACCGATTTAATTTGTGACATCATTACTTCTCTTCTCTAAAATGTTTAACTAAACAATTAATGTACCTTGATCAAGGCAGCTTGCACCAGCTGCTGTTCCATGATCATCTGAAAGAACACTCTCTGCTTTCTGCTCAGAACCTTCAAGAATAAATAATCAGTCTTAATTGAACCAAGTGTGAACATTACAGGCCACTTTGGCAGAAGTAATAATATCAATTGATACTTTGCTCACCAGTATCAAAACTTGCGCTTGTACCAGCTTGCCCAACTCCTCCAGATTGACCTTTAGTTATAACAACAAACACTCAATTAATAAATATTAAGTTTTTATAAACTGTCTTGGCTGTGACCATTGTTCTATGAGTTTGCTTAAAATTATTATGCTTGTACACGACGAAATGAGTCAAATGCAAAATTATAGAGTAAGACATTGCAAAGCAGCAAATAGATACAACAGCAAGCTGCTGATTAGGGAACAGTTAAACAATTCATACCTGATGTTTTTGGTTCCTTTCTCCATTTTTGGAAGATATTTGATGCGCTTCTTCTTATTTGCTTTCCAAGAGTATTTACTTGCTTCTTAGGGTAACGATTTTCCATTCAGCAACTTAACCAAGCTTCAATTTAATCATCAGAAAACATTAATGTAATAAACCCCTGGTAAATTTTTTTGCAATATTATATTCAAGCTAATGCTCCAATCTCAATTTTTTGCAAAGTTGCCTTTGAAACCTTAAAATAAACTGTAATTGGCTCCTTGAGGACTGAATACTGTTTACTTCCCTTATAAGCATGATTAAGGTTACCAGATAACTTCAGGCGTGTCTCAATAAATTGTGCAGTAAGTAAGAAGTAAGAAGTTCATTGTGCACTACCGTTTTTAGCGATACAAGACAAAGGTGTAATGTATCATAAAGGTTTTAAGAAATACATATCTAACTGAAAAAGAGGAAAAAAAGTACCTAAGTTTTGGTAAAAAATTCCTATGGTACAATAACATGTTAAAACCTACATTAAAATGCTTGTAGGATCAAGAAATTTATGTAACAATATTTGCCTTTAGTGTTATGCCTTACTTAATTTCAGGTCTTTATCTAGGCTTTTCCGGTGCACAAACTGACAACAAATGATCGCTGACCAGCAGATGCTTTAAATAAAGGGCTAGGATATTTAAGGTGATTCCCTAGTAAAAGAACCTAACATAGATTGTATATGAAACTTGGTACACTGATGTAACAAGTCAAGAAGATGATAAAAAAGTAATAAAAAGTGGGGGTCACCGTGCTCGTTTTGACGTCACAATGCTGGCAAATACGGCTATTTTGGACCTTTTGACAAAATCCACGCGCAGCCCAAAACTAGACAAAAAGGAAAGATTTTTTCAATGATGCATATGGTATCACGCAGAATTTGACTTTAATGTATTGTTTATCCACTTACGTACCATAAAAATGCCTTTTAATGCCCTTGTTTTTACTTTACTCTCCAAAGTAGAATTAAATTGGACACGCACTATTCGACACGTGATAGCTCAATCCGTACAATTTAGTAAAATTGCCAAAAAACTGAACATAGATTTGTGCCAATTTTTTTCTCACCGAAAGGAAGCACTGTCCTTATTCAAATCATGAAATAAAAAATGGGGGTCACCGTACTCGTTTTTGCGGTAGAGCTGCAGAAAGAGCGCACCAAATGCATTTTCCTTGATTTTTGAGAGAGGACTGGGGCGAGTTTTAAAATAGAATGTATGCCAAAGGGGGAAGAAAGTATTAAAAAATCCGTTTTACAGAATTTACATCGAGATATCACATTAAGGATACAATGTGATAAAGAAAGCGTTTAAATGAAAATCAAAGTGAATAAGCACAAATTAAACATCCACTATCGAGGTTCTCCGTGAGGAAGTCGAACACAGCAACACGCGTACTGCTTACGTTATGCACATTCCCACCACATTGAGTCTCACCTCCGCAAGAAACAACCGCAAGCAAAAATTGCAATAGCGTTTCTCTTCGGTCAACTTGATTTTAATAATGTTACTTCACATGCTCTTTTTTACAGAGGCCATCTTGTTATGCGCAGTAAGAGATGCGCAGTGCAAAACCAGGGAATCACCTTAATTGTTGTGAATTACGTGCTACACGTGGCCAGAGACATGGCCTCTGGTAACTAGCTTGGATGTTGACACATTAAAAACTGTCATCCATGCATGTATTTTAAAGCAAAAATTGAGTGTCCCTTCGATATAATAATGCTGTCTTACAGGTAACCAGCACAATTCTCAGAGAACTGGAAAAATGTGATCAAATTTTTTGGCTCCACTAATTATCTGGGTGGCAATTATCTGTGCGTGTTCCAATTTACATATATTTCGGTCAGATCGCTGATGAGCAGTAAAAATTTTACTGAAAACAAGCGTGTTGATTAAAATTGCGAGAAGGTCTGAATTAAAATTGTGTTTTGCGCAATTTATCTGAGCTAGCTTATAAATACATTAGAAGCAGTGACAGCTGAGATATGGGAATCAAATGTCAGGGTATAGGATCAAATATCACCCCTCCCTAAGTCCTTAACAGAGTCTGTAGGTGAAAGTTCCTTGCCCAGGAATGAAAGCTTTAAAAGTTCAGTGGTTTACAAATCATCTGTCGACTGCGAGATAGTTCCCTTGAAACACCAATCATGGATTCATTGTAGTTAGGTTATCATCAATTTATATCCTCAGTAGCATGAGATTCCTCTACTGTAAAGGACATACTTGTCTAATACTCCAACAAATTTATGCATGGCATCATTAAATTTCTCATTGTTTTGCTTTGTTCTTTTTTTTTTGTTATGCTTTTTTACAGTACTGTAAATACAATTCAATACATTATGCCATGTATAAATTTGTCGGCGTATTGGACAACCCTCATAAAGGAGAGCATTTTTTTTCGTGTCATCAAGGTAGCACACGGTTGAGCATGTCTCAGTGACTGATGGTATGTTGTTTACCTAGATACTGACCAATAACAGGGTTCCATGCAAGCACGTACGCTACTTTGTGACACTCCACACACCACTGGTAGAGCGTCAGACAGTGCAGCATTAATGCAAACCACTTGACATCTTTGAGACAAGTAGCTGTTAAACCAGAAGACTGCTGATGGAGCAAGCCAAATGGCTTTTAGTTTTTGCAAAAAAATGTTGTGATTGATGCTATTGAACGCTTTGCTCATATCCAGATAAACAATGTAGCTGTTAGCTTTCTCTTGTCAACCACCTCAAGTATAGTGTCCATAGAGATGATAAGAGAAGTTTCAGACATGGAGTGCCACTTTTTTTCTGCTCTGTTCCACCGCCAGTCTTTTGTTTGTTTTTAGGTATAGGGTGTTCACTGACTCTGAGGGCCACCTTTTCGCACACTTAAGATAAGACAGGCAACAAAGAAATTGGCCTATTGTTCCCTGGTTCTTCAAAATCACCCCCTCTCAAGATTGGTGACACTTCTAGGATACGTCAGGTACTCGTGGTAAAAGAAGAATTTATAATAGCAGCAATATGTAGAAGGAATAATTATAATTACAGGTACAAAGTCCTTGATCATGATGACACGAGTTGGTATCTTGTCAAGACCTGACCCTTTGTTTCTAAACAATGATGATACAATCTTTTCAACATCTGAACAATAAACAATAAGGAGATCCGCCGTGCCATATCTGGGAGAGTTGGCATGTATGCGTAAATGACCGTAAATGATCTAATAGATCGCCCAGGGCGTGTTTTTAATTTTGGGGGTTCATGAGGGAGAATCTAAAAGATAGGAGGTGTTTAAAAGTGATACGTGTTTATTCTCATAACTGTAACAAACTGAAACAAAACTAACTGAAGCTTTAAGCAACAATAATTATCAAGAGAGTTTATAAATAGTGGAACATCCATTTCGTCAATCAATATGACTGTCATGTCTTAGCCATCCAGAGAATCCAGTGTCAAAATTGATGTCAGAATTCTTACTCAGGGTCATTGTGCTGCCATTAAGTTAGTTTATTCTTACTCTGAACTCGACTTTGCACAAGATACAATACACAAACCCTTGTTAATCAACCAAGAAAGTGAATAAATTGAATGATTTGCTCCTTTTTGCTAATTCCTCAAAGGGCCCGTGAAGATATCCTTTGAATAATTTATTATTAAGCCATGGATAAAGCAAATTCATATATTGTAGGCCCCTAAATTATCCTTGCTACGTTACAGCAGTTTGGAAAGATTATGAGCTCTACAAGATGCAAAATAATATTATGGGATATGTCACTGTCGAGAACCTTCCAAGACCAACGAGGAAAAGAAAATGGTCATCCTCGACAACAAAGGCAACTCCCAGCTGTCATGATTGGAAGAGGGAAGTAGGACATAATAAATTCACTTCAACACTTTCTCAAATAAAAGGCCATCAACACAGAGACTTAAAACCTAACAATACCAAAAACGGTCTGATCTGAATTTGAGGTGATCATGGACACCACGCTCTGCCAAAACCAAACTTACAACTGCGAGACGAGTACATCTGTTTTAACTAGGTCCACCCTCAAACAGGGAATCTATAATAAAAGATGTTTCATAGGTTACGTTCTACAGTTCAGCTTACCTTTCTTAAATTTAGGAAATACTTCCACCGCTACCTCTACATGATGAATAGTCTCCCAGAGAGGTAAACAGCTTGATTGTGTGATCACCGTATTTGGATCGGAACCAAATACGTCATTGGTGACGCAAATTTTTAAAACAACACAGTCACGCGATTCACGATCCTCTGCTTGAGCCGGTGGAATTTCAGTGAAACTTCGATTTTCTGTAAGTATGGTCTAGTGAAGCTTTATGTAACCACATAATGCAGGTACACTCTCGCAACTGTGAATAATGCTTGCTAGAATAACATTCCTCTCACAGATAGGCGGTGGAATTTTACAGAAGAAGTGAAAAATCTACTTCCGGTTTTATGATTCTTGCTAATCAGTTCCTGAATATGTTCGTTATGACGAAAAGAAGCTTCTTTATAGTCATAGAATTTTAAATTGATCAAACATTACTAGTTAAAGCATTTCCATATCATTCTCAACACCACCTGGAGCTAATCAAATAAGCTCATATTTACCAGTTTACGGGAATGTTTATTTTTAAACCCACCAATGTGGTGTTAGTGGTCTGTTTATGTCGGCCCGAGCAGGCAATCTCTCTTCAATCGTCTCACTTGTGCCTGTGACGACTCGCTGTGATAGCATTTTTAGCTGGAGGAAGGGACTGTAGCCTGAGTATTCGGTGTTTCTGTGAGAAATGAAGAGAGAACTGAAAAGGATGAGAGCGAAACGAAACAAAAAGCTTTTCTGTCTCAATATTGATTCTCTATTCCCACTAGCCTCCGACGCAGGGGTTCGTCACGCGTTGCTGCCCCCTACCCCTCCTCGAACCCCTTAGAACATCCGCCGCGTGGGAGGCTATATTCCCACTTCGCCGCTCCGTCATCTAAAATTTCCTCTCCTCCCACCCCTAAGGTAGGCCTGATACTCAGGTTAAAAGGACTAGGAAGAAAATTCATTGTGACAAGTGAAGGTCTTGTAATGTCCAGAAGAAGTCGGTTTCTGAGCTCATATGAACTGGTTTTCTAGTTTGGAGATTCTTCAGGAGCGAGACGTCCATGAAGATCAGCTGAAATACATAAAACTGGAAGAAAAGCAAGATTTCAAATACCATGAAACCTTTTTATGGCTAATATCAATTTGCATTTTTGACGCTTGGGGTTAACTTTTAGGCCGTTTGACGGCTGACGGTTATAATCCCACTGAGACCCTCTTTTAATATAGTAAATACTACATGTAGCATGACAAGAAGACTCCCTGTTAGAACGTACTGTGAAAAGGCACCATTATTTTTCAGTGATAGGAAAAAGGTGTAAGGAGAGATTTTCCATGAATTCTTTATTTGCCTCGAATTTCGTATATAGCTTTCAAATGTTCGCTTTGATGTTGTTTTCAGTAATTCATACTGAATTTGCATAAATAAGTTTTAGCTCCGAAAAAAGGCTCGTGCCATTTTTTAATTATCCTTTGTTTCATTTGCTTTGTGTTCGCTAGGTAATAATCATAGAAAAGCCAACAGTGTTCCTTAACAAACAAAACTAATTGCTCGTTCTCTTTTCAATTATATACATTTTACGTCAATGTTGACTCTTGAAAGAATATTTAATTTCTTAATAATGGTTTATTTGACTTTAGTCTATTTTTCGTGATCAGTTTTACTACCGGGCGACATTTATTCATAGAAACGCCTTTCGTGCAGGTGCATCTAGTTTTAACTGCAACTTAAGTTATATTATTATTCATTCAAAATATTTCCCCGATTCTGATTGGCTAAAAGCACACGTTTAATTCACCATAACCAGTTACTGATGACCAAATTTGGAAGAATTTTGACTTTAACGAGGAAATGACGTCAAAAATGCAGCGTTTTCGCAGGTTAAGGCACCGTTAACCGAGAAGACCTGGGNAGGACTTATTTTGAATGAATAATAATTAACAGTTATTGAATTCGGCTTTCGTATCATATGAAGAATTATGGAGATCTCGGAGGGTGTTATCCGCCTCGGCCTACGGCCTCGACGGATAACACCCTCCTCGATCTCCATAATTCTTCATAAGATACTCAGCCTCATTCATTAACTGTTAATTTATTTGCGAAAATATATTTCATTAAGTTGTTCGTTAAAGAGAGGTCTGAATAACCGAATTTTGAATATGAAAGGATTTGCGGTCTTGCAATTTTAAAATTAGATCGGTTTTTGTTTAAGGTGAAAACTTCCAATTAGTCTGCGCTTCTTCTGTTTAAACAGCCGATAGCTGAACTTGCAATTTAATTCATATTGTAACACTTTGTATATAAACTCTGTTTTGCTGACCTGGCTAGGTGTTTGTCTCAGTACTTTTACTTTCTAAAATAGCAACAGTAACAACAGATTTCAGGTTAAAAATAGAATTTGTATCTAGTTTTCATTTAACTCTAAGTGATTTTTTTATATTTCTATTGTATTCTTTTGTCTTCAATGGTTGTAAAAATCATATATAAGTAAGTTAGTTTTTACTGATTGCCGATTATTTCGCCGTGCCCTAGCCGAGTTATTGCTGTTTGATCCGCTGAAGAATAAACGCTGTTGGAACCTAGTTTAGTTCTGTTTTATCCACTGCTGTACCAGTTAGTGATCAGATTCCGGTCCTACAGAGAAGTGACGGCTCTTCCCCGCAAGCGAGGTGCCATTTGAGTCTAGTTTTCCCCAGTTTTATCGTGAGTCAAGCACCGAGTTCCCGTTGAGCCTTAAATTGGTTTCAAAGTGGAAAAACCTTCCGTCACAAAGGGGATCCTAATCTGTCAAAAATGGTATGTAAAGGGTAAGGGGTTGGATCTCGGGGCGGAGCTTACCCGCATAAAACTTTGAGGAGTAGGCTGCCCCGTCCCCTGGGAGAGGGCTTCTTGCTACGTGTAAGCAGGGTTTCATGCCGGAGTTTTCATTGTATTCGTAGCTTCACTCTTTCCTTCTCGCTCCCCGACAACAAAGCCCTTGCTGGTACAGTTTATGAATCACTGAAATTTGTCCCTACAAAAGGGAGGCAAATCCTGTTTTCCAACAAAACAACCAAACCAATAACAGCTTTTATCCCCAGTTTTTCTTTACTGAAGACAACTGAACGTACTACAGTTATCTAAAACCATTCAATTGTCGTTTCTTTATAGGGGTAACTGTAGGCCATTTATAAGTGCTTACCATGCGGTCAATCTACCTTCTTTTCCTTCATGCTGTGTTCATTGGTTTTGCCCGACACACCAAAGTAACTGCGAAGAGGCATTGCCCCAAGTTTACTTCTTGTATTGACAGCTATGCTGACATTTATAAATCCCTAGCATCAGAGGAGAACAGTTTCAACATTGAATCTGCGCTGTATCCAGCAATGACGCCATCATCACTTGTAGTTAAAGTAGAGTTCATTATAAACAATGAAACATCAGTGGCAAATTACACTTGGAGTTTAAACTGTTTATATGTTGCTATTCCTCCTCAAGTCCTCCAGCTCTTGTCGCTTGGGTCCGTTCTTGTTACACCACGCACACAAGAGCTGAAAATCTGTATCCCCGATTTCTGTAGAAATATTGCATCGACCAAGGAGCAGAAAGACCTCATGAAAGGTGTTCTCTCTGCGGTACGCAACTGTATGTCTACTTTTCTGTAATAGTTTACACTAATTACAGGAGTGACAGAGAAACCGAGATTATACAATTAAAAGAGGATTAATCNTCACAAAGGGGATCCTAATCTGTCAAAAATGGTATGTAAAGGGTAAGGGGTTGGATCTCGGGGCGGAGCTTACCCGCATAAAACTTTGAGGAGTAGGCTGCCCCGTCCCCTGGGAGAGGGCTTCTTGCTACGTGTAAGCAGGGTTTCATGCCGGAGTTTTCATTGTATTCGTAGCTTCACTCTTTCCTTCTCGCTCCCCGACAACAAAGCCCTTGCTGGTACAGTTTATGAATCACTGAAATTTGTCCCTACAAAAGGGAGGCAAATCCTGTTTTCCAACAAAACAACCAAACCAATAACAGCTTTTATCCCCAGTTTTTCTTTACTGAAGACAACTGAACGTACTACAGTTATCTAAAACCATTCAATTGTCGTTTCTTTATAGGGGTAACTGTAGGCCATTTATAAGTGCTTACCATGCGGTCAATCTACCTTCTTTTCCTTCATGCTGTGTTCATTGGTTTTGCCCGACACACCAAAGTAACTGCGAAGAGGCATTGCCCCAAGTTTACTTCTTGTATTGACAGCTATGCTGACATTTATAAATCCCTAGCATCAGAGGAGAACAGTTTCAACATTGAATCTACGCTGTATCCAGCAATGACACCATCATCACTTGTAGTTAAAGTAGAGTTCATTATAAACAATGAAACATCAGTGGCAAATTACACTTGGAGTTTAAACTGTTTATATGTTGCTATTCCTCCTCAAGTCCTCCAGCTCTTGTCGCTTGGGTCCGTTCTTGTTACACCACGCACACAAGAGCTGAAAATCTGTATCCCCGATTTCTGTAGAAATATTGCATCGACCAAGGAGCAGAAAGACCTCATGAAAGGTGTTCTCTCTGCGGTACGCAACTGTATGTCTACTTTTCTGTAATAGTTTACACTAATTACAGGAGTGACAGAGAAACCGAGATTATACAATTAAAAGAGGATTAATCAAAGTCATAAAGAATCCATACTCTTACACAAAATTCTTACACTTTAGGAGCCAACACCAAGAGGAATTATTGTTGGAGCAAGAATTTATCAAATCCAGTCTTGTAAAAGTTTTAAAAAGGCAGAGATGTAGATTTTATGTCGCATTTCGGAAGTGTCAAACAAGTTTTGACACTTTTTTTTTCAATTTAAGAAAAGCGTCGCGTAACTCCTTTATTACAAAATCATAACAAAATCTATGAATCACCTTGTTTAGTCATTAAAATGAAAATAAGGTTGTTTTCTGCGGAGTATCAGTGTTGCTATAGAAGCCACTAAGGTCTAGACCATAAATTGTTCTCCAATTTTAAACTGGGTGTTGAATATTTTATTGTTGCATTAACTGGTAAAAAAAGTGGCAATATGTGTTGTGTGTTTGTTCAACCAGTTGGGTCTCTATCGTATTATACAAATATTGATCATATTAAACATATTTCTTTTTCACAGCTTCAAGATCTGCATGGCCGTGAGTCCAGGAGTACGGGATCCAAGACTTAACACAGTAGATTGCGTTATAGAGGGACATGAAACAGACATAATGGCTACAGGACAGAGTTCGTACATAAGAGCAATTTTATGGTGCGCTTTTATTTTTTCATTCTGGGCTGGTCCTTATTTAGCGGAAATTATTTTAGGTGTGATAGAACAGAGATCCCAAGGTAATCAAAGTCCAACTGCAACCTCATCCGCCGGGACGGGGCAAGTTGAAGTTGCTATAGAACTCCTTGATCCCCAGGCTCCCACTTCCCCGGGCCCGGGAGAAAATATTTCGGAGCCCCTGATAAGGGCAATAGATTGGGTATGTCGTTTATTGCTTTGTGTAGAAATTATAATATTAGGCTTTATATTCAAATTTTCTGAATCAGGAAATGCCCCAATTGATGTTTACATATATATTGGGATCCTTATTTTGGAAGGTGTGGTATTAACTTGCATAAAAAAATGCCATTCCAAAAGAGTCTTTATATCAACATTTTGTTTAATCTTTACATCCCATCATTTTTGTTGGCTGGTGACCGGCATTATGATTAATCCAGTGTGGGGACTAACGGTTTTGCTCCTAGCTTGCTTTTCTGTCAACTTGTTAACTTTCCTGCTCTGCCAGATTTTTGAGGGAGGCAATTTCAAATGCAGTCGAGACGACATCATGCAAATCGTTGTATGTGGTATTACCTTTTGCGGTGGTTTCTCGCTTGTTGCGTCAGCAGTTTTAGCGGGACAGTCGTTTTATGGAACGGGGACTGCGGACGAGCTGGTGAAAACCGTATTGTTGTCTGTTATCAGCCTTGGTACTTCACTGTTGTCTTGGCTGAGTAAAAAACGTTAGAAAAAAGAGGAAAATGCTGCTCAATAACTCTAAAACATAAAATAGAGGAATATTTCCAAGCAGATAGCGCCGTCCGTTCTGCCAGCCTGCGAGCAGCTCTCCATTTGCCATTGGATGAGTCGCGAAAATTCACGCGCGGCTTCGCGGCTCGCTGCGCTTGCTATAAATGGGGAGCTTACTCGATTCGGGGCTTCCGTTCTGCGCATCTTGAGTAGCCCTAGGAAACTCGGATATTTAGATGATGCCTCCTCTTTTTACAAAGCATGTCCACTCAGCAAGAAGCAAAGATTAATGGCATCCAAATACAGTCGAAACCTCCGTAAGCGACCAACCAACGCTCAAACCTTCACTGAAGGGTCTCTTCCGAACACTTCAAAGACAATTTATCGAATACAATATTTTGGAAGTTA